CCATCAAACCCATGTTTCGCTAGTTTGTAGCATCTCTTAAAAAGTTTCATTACACAATGTTTCTCAAATATTTTTGAAAGAGAAGGGATTTTGTGAAACATACAATCTCACACTGAACAAGTCAGCGAACAGCTCAGCTGTACTTGCCTAGGAATAGTTCTGCACAAATGCAGCCAGAATGATTCTGTTAACTGAGCTGGCTTGGATATCCCTTTACTACGCTGTTTCGTCCTATGCTGACATGTTCAGAGGTTAAAAAAAAAAAAAAAAAGCTTTCCACATAAGAAAAAAAAAAAAAATTCAGCCTACAGACCTTTGCTTCCTACCTTCAAGTCCTTAAATCTACAAAAATTATGGACTTTAAAAGCACGAGGAAGTTTTACTACATGTAATTTAAGCTGCATTTGTGTGTTCATTTATATAATACAATACCTCATTTTCAAAATTATATTCTTCATCGTATGTCAACTTCTTCATAACAGCCAACATGATTGCCTACGAAAAACAGAACTGTAAGCATAGAAGCAGACAAGTGATAAGAAGTGACAATTAAAATCCTACAGTTAAGGAAACATTACAGCAAGTACTAAGTGTTTACAAGTATTTTAAATTCCATTTGAATTATCATTTTCCGAAGTTTAGCACAAGTAACAGTCCAAATTAAAACAGATTACATCCAAACAATACACAGATGCCACTCCAGATACACAGCACAGATGACTTAGAGCTCTCAGTGTTTGACAGTATTATCTGGTTTTGTTTTCTGATTGCAATCTGTGCTGTTCAGTTCACACTGGAAACAACAGTTACGGTGAGGAAGCCAAACAGGTTGTCCAAAGTCCTATTTTAAAGGTGTGGGTCAACTCAGCTGTAACATCCTTGAAAGTTTTTTTTTTTTTTCAGACAGGTTAACAAGCTGAATTCGTTCAGCAAAGAATCCAAGAGTAAGAGCCAGGAGCAGCAAACAAGAGTAAGAAACCCAAACCCACCTCTTTTCAGCAGCAGTGAGCTGTTAGATCAGTTAAGGGAGTGATGTGCAATTTCACCTTAGTAAGGATTGTTGCTAAGTCCCAACACAGCAATAAAGACTTGATCTCTTTTCTACTGAAGTCTCAATCTCCAAATGTATCACTTTGCTCTTACTAAGCATTTACTAATGCAGGGTTTTGGAACTCAGATTTAGTGTTTAAAATACATGGAGTACTCAATACTCCATTCTTGCTTTCCAGGTTGGATAGAAATTAGACTGGCACACACAGTTAGCTAAAACAACCATTTAAAAATCTATTCTATTTCAATTTGTACATTAGTTTATTCTGGGGAACCTACAAAAACATGTATTAAATCGAAATATTCCAAACGGACAGAAAGCTATTCTGAACCATTAAAACCAAATCAGAGGCACACTGTTTTTATATCTATGAGAACAATAAAGTGTTAGAAGTCCAAGAAAATATTAAGTAGCAACAAGTAATGGGGCAGGACATATCCATCTATCTATTACAAGGAATGGCTGACTGAATATTGGAGATGACTGTGTAGAATTATAACAGGTATTTGATCAGCATTACAGATAATCTCATCCCTAATACCAGGTGAATAAACAAGCTCATGCCTTTTTTCCCCCCCTTCTCCATTTTGGTTACATTAGGCAGCCAACAGCTTTTATTGTAACTGTAGCAAATGAAAATGCTGATAACATCAGCAAGAACTTGATGAGCATTTTGCAATTCTCTTCCAGTACTGGAGGTTCTGAAGGTGGATAGTCATAAATTTCAGATAAACAATAATCAAGGGGACAACGTAAATATTTAAACAACACCACCACCACTTGACAAATCAATCACAATTACATATTTTTCATTTTAAGTGCAAAACCTGAAGTTCTTTAACACCCAAGTGGACCAGTGAATTAAACAGAGGTGAAATTCTTGGTGATCTTGCAGAAACAGACATTTTTAAATAATTTGAGGAAGAACATGGTCAAACAGCAAGAATGTGATCAGGCTTTCTATCGACACCAAGCATCAGCATCATCTATGAGAAGCCTCTGCTCCTCTCTAAGAAGTGATATTAAAGAATTAAAATAATTGCAAAACAGCAATGCAACATGCTTGTAGTCAAAAATTCTTAGAAACACCTGCCATTTTAAGAATTAAGAATGTGATCCTACTGATGAGAAAAACCTTTGTGATTTCAAAGGCACAATAAACAAGAACACCTTTTTTTCCTAATGAACAAGCTGAAAGTCAGAACTTCCTAGGTGCAAAACTTTAAAAGGAATACTGCTAAGCACACAATGAAGACAGACAACAATAAGATTCAGACTATTTCCAAATGCTTCCTTATTATAAGGTGGACAAAAGAAGAGAGACTGATACGATCCCTTCTCAGTTTAACACAAAACCTCAATCAGCACTCAGTAAAATTGAGAAATAATTCTAATAAAGTTCTTCAGTATAAAAGTAAGTTTAACAAAACAGCAGATTTTGGAACAGTAAAAAATTCAAATTTTAAGTATCTTAGGTGCACTGCAGTAATTTGGTTTGATCCAGTTATAGGAACAAAAGAGACATAGTAACAAAAAGATTCAGTGATGTTATCAAACTTCTCTTATGGTGTTACCTAACCCAAGTTAAACAGACATTAGACAAAACCAGACCACAATATTCTAGACCACAGTTATCCAAATTCAACTTGTCATGTTAGAACAGGTATAGAGTTCAGTTTTCTTTGTAAATGAAAAGGAATCTCAGCTGTCAGCTGTATGAACTTACAAAATAACTGCACCAATCTAACCAGTTCAACACCTAAATTAGTACATCCACATTGGTGCAGAAGGGTCATGGGGGGGAAAAAAATAAATTTAAAAGGACTGTGCTGTAAAAAAACCAAACAAGTTTACTACCGCCAAAACTGGATAAGAAACTTTTATTAAACTTAAAGTTCATGTACAGTTTAACATAGAATAAGCAGTTTCATGTTAAGCATTAAGTACAACTGTTGTACTTGAATTGCAGCTTCTCTCATAACTTATGACACTATCAAGGGTTGAGTTTTGTGGCAACACATTCTATATTTCTTCCAACCCTTTGGAATTAGGGCAGGTTTTAATAAAAACACAAAGCTTCAGGATAAAAAAAAAAACACCAACCTCCTCTTGTATCTTGATTTGGGAACATCCTATCAACAGTATAGACCATACATGAGCATATCAACATATGCTTAAGGGTTGCTTGGGAAGACCAGCTCTAAAACAGCTTTCATCTGTGTATCCAATTCAATATATGTTTATTCTTTAAAGAAACAGCTGTAGTTACTTAGCAGAAGATGGAACATACTATCCTTACTTTTAAATCTTCCCTTTTAATTATTGTCACGTTTTAAGACGTATAGTTAAAATATGATTTGTATCAGTAAAATGGAAGATTTGACATACATTCTTGAAAAAAGAATCTCCAGTGAAAAGAAAACACTTACCTCTACATTAGCTTTTTGTTGGTCTGAAAGTGCAGAAAGCTGTAAAATAAATTTCAGGAGTTATTTTTTTTATACTAACCCTTTTATTACCGTCCAGCAGAAAGACATAGGTTTGCTTTTTTAACAGCCATATGATCTGCAAGCCCTCTTTCCACTTAACACAAGATTCAACCCAGTTCCTTCAGATTTCTAAAACATCACTATAGAAACAGCATGACCATAGACATTAAAGATACTGAATGCTAATTAGTAAAAAACCACGCTATTTGGCAAGTCAGCTCACACACAGTATAAGATTCAAATATTCCTAAAAAAAAATCAAACTAAATCAAAGCAAAGTTATATTGAAGCCAGAGATATTTACTTGTTTCAAGATGTGAAGGTAGTCGTAACAGAAGCCAATGATGTTAGATGAGATGTCGTCATCTTCGTGGATTAGCAGTTGCAACATTAGGGCCACTTTTGCTTCAATGGCTTGCAATGTGTCTTGAGCACTCTCCATGTCACCACTTTTTATCAGTTTAGTCCAACTAGCTATTAATGCTTGCCCCATCCCATTGACCAGTTTAGAAAATCTGGCCAGAAAATCCACATCATCTTCCTGCAAGAAAAGATGTCTGATTAAGAATACCAGCAGAGCTCCCATTTACATGTCATGAGCTTACAGACTGGACCACCCACATCTAGTATGCAGAAGAAGTAAAACCAACATTTGTCTCCCAGATGGAAAGTACAATTGCCTGCTTCATTTTCCCTGTGGAATGTACAGAAAAATTAAAGCAATGCCAGATTGGGCTGTCTTCTATTATACAACAGTAGCTCGCTTCCTCTCTTGAGCTTAGTTTATTTCTCATTTTACCTTACAAAAAGAAGCAAGTTCAAAACAAAAGCAGCAGCATGTACCTACCATATATTTTAAGCTGTATAAAATGCAAAATATTTTAATAGGAAAACTTCAAAAGAGTTAACAGCTGTAGGTCACTTTAGAAATACTGATAATGAGTAACTTCCAGTTCCACCTGTAAGACTGAGTTAATATTAAATATGTACAACTTACTTTTGCAGAACTACATTGATCAGGACTAAATTCCCCTAGACCTGTCACTCCAAACAGATGCTTTGTTCCCTGCCACAACTCTACAAAAGCAGAAGAGTAACAAGTCCTCCTCAGAAAGACTGAGGTAAGATTGTTAGAGGAACACCTCCAGAATTGATGAAGGTGCATCTTCTGCATTTCATTAGGAGTGCAAATTTGACAAAGGCTTCAAAATGAAGAGATAACTGCCCTGCAATCTGAGGACTACAGCTTCGTAAGGACTGGTTTCTCTTTTTCCCCCATGGCAGGGAGCAAACAGCTGCCCTCAAACACTGTCACTGCCAGGGAATGAGTGTTTGTATAGTAGGTGTATCTTTCCAGCTTATAGGCCAGAACTTCAAGCCTCACACCTGACAGTGCAGACCGGCAAACAGCATACGTGCCTTTAAGAAAGCTCTTTCCCCTACCTAATTATTCACAGCTGATAAAAAAAAAAAAAGGCAACCTTGGCTAAAAAACCTATAAAACCTATTATGGCATCATTCAGAAGAGAAGATTCAAGGCAAGGAAATACAGAAGCAGCATTAAGAGTAAGCACAACATGCTTTTGGAGAAGAAGACAAATTATAGAATACCTTGCTTCTAATACAAGACAGTCAAGCTGAGGACAAAAAAAATGCAGTGTTTTTTAAGTGAATAAGGAATATTAATAACAAGCTGTTAATATTTGAAAAAAACTCTAAGAAGTGTTTAGCTCTGATGCAGAAACACAACTAAATCTCCCTAATCTGTGGTCTTAGTTTTATAGTTTTCTGTTCATTTACTTTTTAAGAACTGTCAGAAACCTATCACACATTGCTATTGTAAAAGTCAGTATACAGACCTGATCAATACTGAAGAGGCCAGCAGACTGCAATACTTGACATAAAGACTCAACCAATTTTGTTTTATCAATTGGGTCCATTCCCTTATTTACAATTTCAAACAAACAATCACAAGCCTCTTCCCGGAGAACTTCCACAGACATGTGACCTAGCAGCATATTTATAAACCTGGAGAGAAAAAGAAAGTTTATTTTTATATGTACATAATAGCATCGTACAGGAGCATATATTATTTGTGTGCATATTTACAGTGGTTTCTTTTTATAAGACAGTATTAAAGTTTCTTGTACTGACTAAACCCAGCATTTTATACATTTTAAGGAGAATGCAGCAAATTGTGTAGCGTCCATTTTGGCCATTATATCAACTTGGCTTGCCAAGCCCAGCACACTACTAAAAACTCAAAACATCCAAAGATTTATATGTAATGAAAGTCCTTTTCAAAAATTAGTTTTAATTCTGTCAGCACATCACCAAGGTTTTGTTGCAAACATATTCCATCAAAACACCCTTACCTTTCATTTGCTATCAGGCTCAAATCTATCCAGGATACGTAAGCTCCAACTACTTCAAGGCACTGGCATGTCAACTCTGAATTATTATATTGATAGTTCTGTAAGATTTGGTACCATGATTCCACCAAACTTGGAATGCACTGTTCCCTCATAGTATCTTTTAATAAGGTGTTTCTACGAGCCTCCTATTAATACAGAAAAAGGATAAAGCAGTCTTGTCACTGATTAGCATCTTGTCAAGTTAATAGCATTTTTGTATCCACTACCAGACACTTGCCCTAGCAAGATAAAGAACTCAAATCAGAAACCCAAAGAAAGTATATTCTTTTTTGTTGCAAGAAATAAAACAAAAACACTCTAGTTTTTGCTTTTTTCTTCCTACCACAATGCCCAAATACTGAAGGAAGGCAAAGACGAAAAGTCCTCTAGATCATTAAATGGATTTTTGATGTTAGTATGTCTTAAAACAGGCACTAGAAGAAATCAACATTTTAAAATGACTCAGTCTAACATTAAATTGGCTAACTCTGTCCATTAGTTTTTGTTTGCTGGCTCTTCAAGGAAAAAATACATTAACTGAAAAGTATGAAATCACAAAAAGCGTTAAGCAACATATGGCTTTTGGATCTAAAACACCTAATGTCTCTTCAGTAGAGCTGCGACAGAGATGATGTTTTTTTTTTCCTGTAAGTCTGCTCTAATTAAAGTAAGAGAACTTCTAGGAAATTTAAAACGAATGTTAATGCAAAAGAATAACTTGCCTCTGATGTGTGAACAACATCCCGGTCTACCAGTTCAGCATCAACAGCCATCAGGATTCTGAGATACATATCCACACCTCGTGGATTAAGGTCAACTACTGATAGGATATCAAAAAAAAACTTGGGCCACTTTGTGAGATATTCAGTAACAAAAAGCAATGCAAAGACTTGTGCCGCTTTGTTGCGAATAAAAGTCTTCTCAGGCTGGGGATTCACCATCTGGTAGAAACAAGATATTTTATTTGTATATTTTTACTAAATTAGAGAAGAATCCTATCTGCTTGTTGATCTCTGTACAGCAATGAATGTGCTCTCTCTGTTCCTGGCAGAGATCAATAAAAAGCCTTACCTTGCCAAGGATTTTAAAGAAAACTCAGCTAAACTGTAATAAAGCAGAGAAAACATTCTCTCTGGGTGATACAGGCCTAAGCCTTTGATTCAGTACTAAGACATCAAGTGTACTATTCAAAGTCTAAAAGCTAATTTGTCAATTTGGTGAAAGGAGTAAACAAGAACTTCCAGAAAATAAGTTACAGTCCTCTTGGAGCTAGTTTCTGCCTACATTAGCTGTTAGCTTTAAGAAGAGTAAATGAAGTCTGTAAGTCCAAGATCATTGGAGGAGGGGGGAATAAAAAGAAAACAGATCTATCATTACCAATCTCCATCCCTCTCTCTCCTTCCCCTTTTCTATCAGATCCTCCTAAATGGAACAGCTTGCCACAAAGAGAAATTAATAGCAATTTAACCCATTTCACAATGATCTGTTCTTTTTTCCAAGCTCTATTATATTCCATTTCCTACTGTGAAGCTTCCTACCACCAAAGCCACTGTTAATGTCCAGTGCAGAAGCGGAACGATAACGGCAGGTACAGGCAGAGACTGTTATCAGTCCACTTGATGCTTCTGCTGATCACAGACTCCTGGCTCCAACTGATACATGTTCAGCTACTGTAATTAATCCCACAAGAAACTGAGTAGCCAAACTCTGCCATGGTACTAACAAGAGGAGTGATGCTGTTCATTGGTAAACATCTGCTACTATTCTACGTAGACGGGAGTTAGGCCAGGAGGGTCTTAAAAACGGAATTGCTGCTCCTCCTCCAGATACTCGGGAACATGAGGAATCTGGATTGTATCTTTCCAAAGGGAAATTTTTAACATTCCTGATTTCACACACAACTGATTAAGCCACAGTTTTTATCTGATGTAAGACTTCCATGCTTAGTAGTAAGTTCAAGCACAGACATCTTTACAACATTTGATTTAAATAACTTTTAATAAAGATTAGCATGTTAAGAGCTTTTCACCATCAGATACCATGATCTTCAGGAAGCCATCTTTAAACTCAGATGCCAGATCAAACATTTACTCCACACTGAATGCCTTATGTCAGCTTACTGATAACCCACGACGTGAAACTGCTCTGAAGGGACATACTTACCTGTGCTTGGAGCCATGTTATGAGTGTTTCCCTAATTAGCTGCTGCTGGACTTCAGTAAGTTCAGAGTATCTGAAACAAAACATGAGATCAAAATACAACTGTTTCATGACAAGCACAACATTCAGTAAGGAAAAAACTTCTAGTATTGCACATAATACTGCACATTAATGTAAAATAAAGGTTCCTAGAAAAGCAATTCACACAGCTATCTGTATATTAAAATTGTGAATCAAAGATATGAAGATAAGGAAAAACATGTATAGATTACATTTTGAGGCACTACTGCCTCCTGTATTTGAGTAAGAGCTTGAAATTTTGTAGGGAGGCTGCTCTATTGGGGACAGGACCTAAGACTCTGATAAAAATACACTGTTGACCATAAGCCATGAGGAGAAGGCAGAGACATCTGTGTATGCTCAAGCTTGTTTACTATATGTTGAAGACTGTCAATAGTGAGCACAAGGAAGCCCTTCACTGATCTGACCTACAGTATATTTATTATCAGACATGCATCTAAAGAAGAAAAGCAAACAAGTAATTATACATTACATCATGCATATAGTCTTGGCAAAATTTTACATTATACCCAGTCCACCTCAAATACTACCCACAAACGTTCCTTCCAAGGACTAGCTAAGCTGAGAACATTCTCCTTGCTATTGAGCTGGCTATAAGTTTGGTACATTACTTAACAGTTAAGACTGCCAAACGTGACCCCAGCACTCCTGTCACAAGTAACTATTCATTAAGGAGAAGAAAAAAGCAACTCCAATGAATATGCTCAAAGGAAATAAGAAGCAGGAAAACATGAGAAGACATACTGCAGGAAGCAGACGACAGGAGTGAAAGAGGCAGAATATGGACAATGAGGTAAAATCACATAAATAAAATCATAGAAAGTGAAGTTTTTCCTTTTTGCTCTGACACATTATTGTGAAAGTTGGACACAGATTTTATTCCTGTCTAAAGCCTGACCCACAAGTTCAGTGTATTGCAACCAGTCACAATAATCCAAGAGGCAGACACCTCTACTATGATGTTCATGTCCAGACCAAGGGAGCTGGAAGTGTGAAAAAACAAACAAACCAACCAACCAGTTCCATGCAATGAAGCTTATATTATTTCTAAGTAGTTTTTCCTGAAATTAATGATTCTATGAAAACACCACTCTGTGAAAAGACTCCTTTCTCTTAATGTCTCTGCCATGGTTATTGAATGAATAGGGCTTTGTATGAAGTCCAGGACTCTGTACTGAGCAAGGCTGCTGCTTGCAGGACTCTTTTTCTGCAAAACTCGGTGAGAGTACAGAGCAAGGCTTGCATCTCCACAAAGGAACAGCTAACTTGGTTTCAAGCACTCCTTGGTAACTCAGACTGTGTGGGGCCATACACGGATCTTGGACTAGCTGAGTAGAGCATGTTGCTCAAAACCCAACTACACCTCTCCCAGAAAAACATGAGGAAATAGAGGAAAGTCCTCTGGACCAGATTAAAGCCACCTCATCAACAACACAAATGACATACCATTTTAAGTTTCTTTGCAAGTAGAATAAAAAGGCAAAATTAAATGGATGTACATGGCTGATATCGAGAAAGATTACTCACTTGAACTTAATTTGATGTTCCAGAACTTGAAAGCAAAAGAACTTGATGTGATCATCACTAGAAAAGAAAAGAAAATTCCATTACTGGTGGCAATATGGTACACTCCTCTGGGAAGAAAAAAATTCCTCTAATACTACAAACAGGTCATCCCTTTGACAAGCGATGAATTACTGTGCACCAGAAAAAAAAAATGCTACTACTATTACTTCAAATAATAAAAAAACCCCACCAAATACTTGAGCAGTTCCTATGGTAAAAGTGAGCAACTGTTAAAGCTAATATTTACGTTTGATATTACAATCTTTTTTTTCTATAGCCACCAGCTTGTTATGCTTCCTTTTCAGTACTGAGCATACAAAACTACAATACCTATTGTATCCTGCCGTTATAAAACTCTGCCAGGCTTCAATACGTCTGTTAGTATACTAAGTGCCAGTTCTACATTGTGTCTTAAAGGGCAAAGCTAAAAAACTGAGGTATAGATTAGGAAGGGGCATTCCATGTGCTATATAATCTACACAAGTTTTTTAATCTTATTATCTAAAAATTACAACTACTATAATGTATTTTGGTAAAGATTATAAAATTCTGATTTCAAATCTTGTGTGGTTTTGTCAATTACTGTGCTCTGTTGGAGTCAGAAGTTTTGACAAATCATTTACAAAAAAGCATTCACTACAAGTCACTGTTGTTAATTCATGAGATGCACATCCCTCCGTTTCCTTCCAACATGAATTATTCTGTGATACAGCAACATCCTACTATTTGACATCTAAATACACAAGTTTGTGCAAAAAATTGTGGTGACTACACACTCTTTACGTCTTGAAAAATGGGATGGCCTACTCCATAGAATAGGGGCAAGGAATTACTTGAGGTAACTACACATAAAGCCCACAGTCTCACAAAGGGAAATTTTCAGCACTTCTCTCCTAGCACTAGAACTCATTCTTTTTCCCCAGATTTCCTAAGGCAGTAGCCTTTAAGCTACTAGATCAATATGAAGTTTTATTATTTATACATTGCTCTTCCTTGAAAGACATTATGCGGAAGCCACAGATCAACTACGATACTAAAAATAGTATGAAGACCATATGAAATTTCAGCAATTTATAGTTTGCCTATTGTGTTGTAGGGCTAAAACCAGTCCCAAACATACTACTAATGAAAATCAGCAGTGATTCTGCTCTATGTTACCTGTATATACTCTGAGCTAACGCTTCTGCACAGACTTGCCAAGCATCCTGAGATATCTTCAGCTGCTCAAAGTAGGCTAGCGCCTGCAAACATCCAAACAAGTTTCATTTAAAAAAAGAACAAACTACACAGCAAGACATCTCATTCACACTTAAGACTCACATTTAAATAGCTCTCCTTCAACAAAAAAACACTCCGAATAGTATCTGGATACAAGTTAAAATTCCTTCCACAAATTCTAAAGAGAAAGTGATTTAGATTTTTTACTGAAAATATTTTTTGTTGCACCACTTTGGCTGTATTCAACATTTCAAGCTCAAGAATCATTCAAACACTGATTGCCTGAGAACTGTCAATTTATGAATCTATTGCAGAGACTGGAAGAAACTTCTACCAAATTCTAGATAATCAAGTTGCTTATCAAAACTTATAAATAGCATTTGACAACAATTAACTTGATCTAATTGCTTTAAGATTCACTGTGGTCTGTTATACAAAGCAGGAAAATAACTTTTGAAATAGATTAACAACAACATTTCAATTTTACGAATGCATGTATTTCAAGGGATTTTTTGGGCCTTTTTTGTCTTTTGCATTAGTACACAATTGTTTCCATTTCCCAAAGTAATTTCCCAAAGTAACTACTCAGTGACTTGAAGTAACTTTTAAAAACAAGAATTTACTTTCTGTAGGTAGGAGTGGTAATTTTCTTATGCTGAACAGTTTTAGAAATTGACACTTCCTTTATATGTTATGTCTTACTACAAAATATTTCAAGATTAGGCAAGCTGGAGAGTTAAAAGTTGATAAATCTGTAAGCTTCGAATTTTACAGTAATATTCCACTAACAGAACATTATAGATTAGCTAGAGCCATCCTTTCAAAAAGGACAAATACCCCAAACCAACCTATTTAACATGCTGCTCAGCAATCCTAGTCTGCATAAAACTATATTTTTAGCTTCAAAAACCACACACTGCATTAAAACACATTAAAAGTAGGTAATTTGCTAAAATACAAAACCACACATCTAAAAATTAAAACGGCAATTGCAATCAACTAATTGTTTTCAGTGGCTGGTATTCATTCTACGATAACCTGCACAAGGAGCTGAGCGACAAGCACAAAGAATTGAAAGGACTGAAAAAGTCAGATCACAGAAAGACAAATTCTATGCATGTCACATGGGGACACGAACTCCAGCTCACGTGCTTGCGACATGACTTCGTACTTGCCACCATGAACCACTTGTATTAACCAGGAAAACCCCAAACACAAGTCCCCCAATCCTCCCCCCAAGAAAATACGTGACTTTACACTGAGACATCACCCCCAGTTATTGGAGAGATACACAAGTTAATTACATACTCTTTGTCTGAAGTCCGCATCAGCATTTGGGTTTAGCCCTAAAAGGGCTTGTTCATCCATCGCTGTTGCTATGCTCTTTGCTTCCTGCTCCTAACTGGTTTGCCCACTTCTTCTAGAGGGGAAACAACGATCATCTGCAAATAGAGAAACTTTATTTGCTGAGCAGAACAAAAATTAAAAGCAGGACAGCAGCAACCACAGAAGTTTGCCCACAAACCTCAAACACATAGTATGTACTCTACCAAAACATGAATGTGCAGACTTCTGATACAGATACCAGAAATCTAAGTCCTTTAATCAACTTTTAATAGCACTTCTTGCTGAATAAGGAAAATCTGAAGTGTCCTTATGTTTCAGTTCTCTTCAGAAGAGGTAGTATCATTTAATTAACAGAAATCGCACAATGTGTACTATTCAACTGAAAGGCCTGAACTCAAATTTTGAGCATGCAGAGAAGATTTCAGCAACATATGACATAAGCATAAATCTGCTACTTAAATGACAGACGGCTGTATTTTTTTTTGCACACCACAAGCTTCATAACTGAAAAAAAAAAAAAAATCTCTACTCATGTCTAATATTGTGAAGACAACTCATAAATGAATCTATGAAGTATTTCCCCTGTGAGGGGCAAAGCCATTAGGAGGTCTTTCTCCTAAAGCAAGAGCACAGGAGAAGCATCCTAGAAATTAACCACAAAATACATCACACTGAGCTGTTAACAAAGTTTTCTGTTCCTACTAATGGGTGTTGATTTGCTAGCAATGATTTTTATTTAGAAAAAGTCACTGTAAATTTAACAAGCAAGCTAGACCAATGTTCTAAAGATGATGCGTCTCTACAGGCTATTCTGCAATGCTCTGGTAAACCAAGAATTAAAACCAAAATTAAATCTTTGCCAAACACTAGGATGTTGTTAAACAGCAAGAGCAGACAAAAATCCATCTACCCTTCAAAGCCCCGGCCCCACCGTGGTAACACAGTTAATTGGGCCCAAAACACGGCCTGGTTACGTAAGTACGTAGGAGGCAGGGGAAAGGAAGATAGACAAGACGAAGAGATGAAACACAAAGGAGCTGTGGTTTGAAGCTGCCTGCGTGCCTACAGGTAGACCTTCTGATTTCTTAGCTCTGCGTGTCTTCTGTACCCTCCCCCATTGGAAGAAAGGTGGCACAGTGACAACTGACAGCAAGCATGCCTGAAAAGGAGAGTCCCAAATTTCACCCAGTAACAGACGTTTCTATAAAACTCGTTACACAACACATCGTGGCAAAAAGCATCACAAAAAGCAATTAAATAAGTAAAACTGAGTTTGCACCAAAAAGAAATTGCAGACTGCAGCAGCACAGAAACCAGAAAATCTGGAACAAAGTGATGACTCGCAGCGGAAGGAGCCTTGCACGCTGCCTTACGACACAGAGCAATCCCGCTCGGAGTCAAAACCTTCAGGGATTAAAGTTGCTCTGCCAAGTCTTCTCCCTCTGCATCCTCAGCTTGTCTTCCCCATAATCAACAGCCAGATTAAAATAAATGTAAAACGCTGTGGGGATTTTTTTCTTTCCTTACAGCATCTTTCAGCTAGGGTCTGATCTACAGTTATACAAAGCTATTTGAAATACAGAAGCGTATTTTTGGCATATTTTCATGATGATATCATCTACATGTAGCAATCTTCTACACCTGGGTGACAAGTTTTGCTATTAAAAATAACCTGGCTCAAACATATTCTCTTCAGTTTTTTAGCTAACAGCATGCCAACCAGTTCTAATTTTATATATGCTACATGAGCATATTTACAATTTCATCTTCTACCATATAACATTTTTTAAGCACTTCGGGCCTGACTAGCCAAGTCTAAAAGACAATTAATGAGACAGACTAGTTGAACGAGCCTTTTGAGAGAGCTAAGAAAATAGCTTGTCATGCTATATTGATTTTTTTAGTTAAGCAGGTAGCTTTGCCACCACAAATCTCTTACCAGTCAGCTACTCTTCAAAAGCAAAAATCAAACTGTAACTTTCATAGTACTTACAGTTTAAAAAAGTCTGTTGCAAGATACACTTAGCTATAACACCAAGTATGTCATTAAAGCAAGTCTGATTTATAAAAAAAGCAATAACATTAACAGTTAATATGCAACTGGGTAGAAAGTATTGCCTTATTTACTTAGAGATGCTTTTTCTTGCAAGGCAGTACACTGTGTTGGGTGGCAAACTGACCTTACTATAATTAGGAGGGTGCAGCTCCTTAACACGCAAGTCACACAGGTATACATAATTCTCATTAGAATACCCTTCAGATATTGAATACTTATAAATGTATTTGATAGGGGAGATTGTTTCCATACAGGAAAGCAGGAAAAAAAGAAAGTAGTTACATATCAAATGAGGAAGAACATTCAGTTTTACAATATTAACACAGTGCAAGGTGTGCAACTTGAGTCCAGATATGCCCTAATAATGAAAGCACACAGAGCATTTTAACTACAGATGCTAACAACGGGAACAATTAGCAGTTAAAGAAAACTTCATTCATGCCATTCATTTTAGGTATTTACAACACTGTGTAGCACAGCAAAACAGCGACATGCTTCATTTTAATACTCTATAATAAAGCTTTCTTAGAGAAAGAAAAACCTGTTTTCTAATAAAAAGAAAGACAGTAAGAGATCATCTTTCACATTCCTTTTTGATGTCTACTTTGGTTGCTGCAAGTCTAGAAGAGCCTCTTCGGCTCTAGAGCCTTTGCACCGACCTAACACGTGGTCATAATGAACGACTGTGTAATTACAGCTACTTCGGGAACTTTTCAACTGGACTAGAAAGTTTTTTTTTGTTTTGTTTTGTTT